GGTGTGGGGTTGGGACACCCTTGGGTGGGTCTGTGTGTCAGGGTGTGAGGTTGGGACCCCACTGGATGGATCTGTGTGTCAGGGTGTGGGGTTGGGACCCCAGTGGATGGGTCTGTGTGCCAGGGCACAGGGTTGGGACACTCTTGGGTGGGTCTGTGTGTCAGGGTGTGGGGTTGGGACACTCTTGGGTGGGTCTGTGTGCCAGGGCAGGGGGTTTGGATCCCATTGGATGGTCTGTGTGCCAGGCCATGGGTTTGGAACCTCCTTGGATGGGTCTGTGTGCCAGGCTCTGGGGTTGGAACCCCACTGTATGGGTCTATGTGGCAGGCTGTGGGTTTGGAACCTCATTAGACGGGTCTGTGTGCCAGGCTGTGGGATTGGAACCCCACTGGATGGGTCTGTGTGCCAGGCTGTGGGATTGGAACCTCACTGGATGGGTCTGTGTGCCAGGCTGTGGAATTGGAACCCCTCAAGCTGCAGGTCTCCCCTCAGAGCAACCCCTGCCCTTGTGGGTGTTGCTGGCCCACACTGGGCTGTTTGCCCCTCTTCTCACCTCGGCCAAGGATTTCTCTCTCTGCCTCTGGTTTCCAGGAGGCTGCTGGAAAACCCAGGGCTGGGGAGCACCAGAGATTTGTGACTTTTGTTGTGTTTGCATAGGGAAGAGCAAACACGAGTGTCTGTTCCCAAGTGTGGAAAGAGCACTTAGTGCTTCAGGCAGTGTTTGTTTTTGGGCCCCTGATGCTGGGCCCGCGTGCCCAGCTGGCACGTTGCTTAGATCTGCTGCAAGAGGACAAGCCACTTGCATGCCACAAGCCATTCTTTGTGTGCTTGGGATGAAATGATCCAGAGCTGAGGGGTATGGGATGTCTCAACTGTCTATCCACTCATTAACTCTGGCTTTCTTTTTTTAGGAACATGCATGTCTTTTATCCTCCCCTCCAAAAACAATGTCACAGCCATTCCTCTGTTGCTTTTCCTCCCCTTCTCCCTGTCTCTCATGGCCTTGTTACTACCTGTGGCCTGATTGCCTAGCCCTGGAGATGTCTGCAGGATTTATCCTGGGGGCATTTCATTGTATCAGTGGCCAAGTGCAACCCAGAGAGTGGTGCCAGCCCAATCTGGCAAATGTAGATGTTGCAGGAATAAACTGTAGGGATGGAAAGAGGGCCTGAATTGGCTTCCTGGAGGTGTTCCTGTCTCTGCACTGCACTGGGAAGGGAATTTTCTCTATTTCTGGATGACTGTGCCCCACCATCTGCTCCAAACACCTGCAATCCTCTGGAGTTCCTGTCTTTTGGCAGCAGCTCTTCCATGCTGTGCCTAAGGATGTCCCCTTGGCAGCTGCACCTCTACAAAGTGTCCAAATTCCAATTAAGCTCTTGCCCTGGAGTCCAGCAGCGAGGGTCCTGAGCACTTGGTCATGCAGTGCTTGGCTCTGAGTGACAGGGTGAGCTCTATCCCCCATGATCCCTGCAGGAATGTCTGTAGGGAAGCCACAAGCTGCTGCCAGCACGTGTGGATTCTGCTGCTGGGATTGTGTGCCATAGGAGCCCCTGAGCCATCTGGGGAAGGGCACTTGGCCAAGGGCTGCAGGAATTGCAGGAGCTGCCCCACAGGCACCTGCTCACCTGCAGCTCAGAGCTGATGGTTCCTGGTCCTCTCTTTGTGCACAGGGAGCTGGACTGCCTGGGGGGCAGAGCCTCACCAGAACTTGGGGGCTGGCATTTTATTGTCTCTGTCCCTACACAGATTCCTTTTCTGCCTTGTGAGAGGGACACATGTGATCATTAGGACATTTTAAGGAAGGGAACAGCAGAGAGGGGCTGTCCTGCAGCCAAAATAACTTCCTTTGGATCCCGTTGTCCCCTGTTCTGTCCCCAACAGCAGCGTGAGAGCCTCTCTGATGTCAGCTGGTGAGAAACGTGCCACCATCCAACAGTCAGTCCCTGTGACTGCTCCTTTCTTGTTGCTTCTCCACGAGATCAGCTGTGTCTGCGTGGTGTTTAAAAAATGCAGGTTTTGTCATGGTAACAAGGCAGTGCAGAGGAGGGAAGACGGGCACAGATAAGCGCCCTCCCTTCTGCTCTCCCCTCAGCTGAGTTTATCTGCAGTTTCCTGGCAGGGTGGTGAGTGCTGGCACTGGGGTGCTGCGCTGAAAGACAAGAAAAAAGTGTGCAAGAAGGATGTTCAGGCAGGGCCTTTAAACGTGTGTTGTGTAATCATGTGAGAGAGGGAGCAGGAGGAGAGGAAAAGACAGGGGGTAAATGGGCAAAGGCAGCACAAGGAGAGCCCTGGACTCTTCTGCATGAGGTGATGGGAGGGTGCCCTAGGAAACATTAATTGTTGTGCAGTGATCTTTTCTGTCCAAGGATCCTGCAGCACTTCCCAAAGGTGTAGCTCCTGCCCTGGTGAGAGGCAAACATCCAGAAGCCATTTTATTTTCATGGAGACGTCCAGGAGAGTTATGGCATCGGGGCTCTCCTTCCTTTGTGGGGTGGCCCTCAATGAGCATCTTAATCCTTGCCCACACACAGCAGTCCCAAATCTGGCAGGGATGGAGCTGGTTCCTCGGTCTGGAGCACATGCTTGTGCCAGGCTCTATGTTGTGCCATCTCACCCCACACTGGGCTGCTGCCTTACCTGTTCACCTGCTGCATTCCCTTCTCTCTGGCGTTCCAGGGCCCTTCATGTGACCCCGGGCTCCGTGGGGAGAAGGCACCAGGTCCCAGCAGCGGGTCAGGGAAGGTGCAGCCCCCCATGAGCCAAGCAGGGTGTCTGCGTGTGTCTGTCTGTCCCCGCTCCTGCTGGGAGCGGCTCCAGCCTGGCCAGACTCTAGATGGGGCTGAAGAGTTGGAGATCGTGCCCTGAGCGCCGTGCCCAGCCTGGCTGGCTTTGCCTTGGGCACCACGATCCTTCCTGAAAGCAAAGCCCTTGGCTGTGCTCCCCTGGCCCCTGGAGATCCCAGGAGAGAGGACAGACCCTGCCTGGGTGCGGGGGTCCCAGAGGGGTCAGGGAGGGCACAGAACTTCTGTCCCCACGTGGTGGCAGCGAGGGACAGCCGAGGGCATTGCGTGCGGTGCCACGGGAGGGGAGGTTTGAGGTTTGGTTTGCAGGATCCGTCCCGTGGGCGAGGGCTGAGTCATGGCCCAGGGGTGTGTGCCGACAGGCGGGAGGAGGAAGAGGAGGATGCCAGGCAAAGAGAGGGGCCCAGCCAAGGCTCCAGCCCCTCTCAAGAGCCTCCCCACCTCTAATGTCACTGCAGGGACACCAGGCGCCTTCCCAGAGCCAGTGTCACCAGTTAACTCGTGCTGTGACGTGCCTTCCTTCCTCCTTCCCCTCTCCTTCAGAGCCTTTGCTATGATTCATGTTTGCCCGTGGCAGCAAATGGTCGTGCACATAAAACAAACCACAGCCCCCTTCCCCTGGGGAGGGAGACAGACAATTCCAGTCCGGCCTTGGAAACAGCTAAAGCAGTGCCAGGCTTCAGACCTGCTCAGTTTTTAAGTGGCTGCGATCAACTGAGTCCAGCACAGCAGGTCCTGCCCGGCATGGCTGTGAGCAACTCAAAAATCCCCAAAACTCAGGCAGCCAAATGCTGAGTAACATTTCTAATGCTTGTTCTGTCTCATCCCCCGCCCATGCCGGGCTGCAGGGCTCTCTCTGGTGCTCGGCAAACACGACAGCCATCGCTAAAGTGGAAGTTTCTAAGGCTGCATTAACCCTTTTGGGGAGCAAAGATTCCTTTCTCCTCCCTTTTACAACATCTCGGGGCGCTGCTGATGGTGATGTCCACCCTGGGAATCACCAGTACCCAGTTTCCACACTTTCACCCCAGCTGAGCACTGGCAACCGTGGGTGCCACCAATGGAGCGAGTCCCTGTGCTGCTCCTGCCCATGCAGGTGGAATTTATCCCGGGGTTTTGGACACCAATCCCAGCAGGATCTGGTGGAAAACTGGCGCTCGCCTGGTTAACAAGCGCAGGGAAGAGGATTGCTCACCCTGTCGTTGCACAAGCTGAACTCCAGCCAGTTCTTGATTTCTTAGAACTATGTGAAGTGATGTCCCAGACATCACCGCGTGGCCAGTTGGCCGTGTCAGGAGCCCAGAACCAGTTGTGGCCTGTTCCCAGCCCTGAGAACGGCTCTTGGGAAGGGAAGGATGTGGGTCAGTGTGTGGTGTGGCCCTCGGCTCTGGCCTGGGGGCACTGGAAGGAGAGAGGCTTCCAGTGAGGAATCCCCCCTGGCCGTGACCCTGGGAATGGGGATTCTGGAAAAAGATGGGGTGGGATATCAGGACTGGAGCTGCAGGGGGAGTTTGAAGGGCAAGGATGGGGATTTTGGGGGGCAAGGATAGAAACTGGCAAGGGAGATTGAGGAGCAAGAATGGGAGCTAGAAAGGAGTTTTAGGGGGCAAGGATGGAGGTGGAGGGAAAACCTGGGGGACAAGGATGGAAGTTAGAGGAGGGCTTGGGGGTCAAGCATGGATATTTTGAAGGACAAGGATGGGGATTTTGGGAGGAAAAGTTAGGAGCTGGAATGGAGTTTGAGCAGCAAGGATGGGAACTGGAAGGGGATTTTGAGGGTCATGAATAGGAGCTGGAAGGACGTTTTGGGGGACAAGGATGGAGCTCGAGAGGAAATTTGGGGGGGGCAAAGATAGAGCTGGAAGGGAAATTTGTGGAGCAAGGACAAAAGCTGGAGAAGGGCTTGGGAGCCAAGGATGGGGGCTGCAGGGACTCTTGGGGGGCCACTGAACGACCCGGCAGCACCCAGGGGTCGCTGGCAGTGCTCAGCCCCCTGCCCAGCGCACGTTTCCCGGCGATATCTCAGAGCGGCACCGGCACAAGTTGGGGAGCCCCGCCGGGACCGGGCACGGCCCCACACGGTCCAACCCCCCCGGGGAGCTGCCGGCAGCCGTGCTCCGTGCGGAGAGGCCGATCCGCACATGCTCCCTGCCTTGTTTTGCAGGGCCCGGCGGGGCCGCCCCAGCCCGGCCCGTCCCGCCCCGCCGGGGCCGCCCCCGGCCGCGCCGGGCGCTTAAAGCCGGGCCCAGCCGAGCGAGCCGGGTTGAGCCGCATCGCGCCGGTTAGGGCTGAGCAGCGCCATGATTTTCGATCGCCTCAAACGCTTCTCGATCGTGCTGGAGGGCACGGAGCAGGACGGCCCGGCCGCCTTCAGCCCCGGGCAGGCGGTGTCGGGCCGCGTGGTGCTGGAGCTGGCGGCGGCCGCGAGGCTCGGGGCGCTGCGGCTGCGGGCCATGGGCGCTGCCCGCGTCCACTGGACCGAGTCCCGCAGCGCCGGCTCCAGCACCGCCTACACGCAGAGCTACAGCGACCAGGTGGAGTTTCTGAGCCACCGCGACACGCTGATGGCACCCCCAGGTACGGCATCCCCTGCCCCAGGGAGCGCCCCCGGGTGCGGCATCCCCTGCCCGAGGGGCACCCCCGGGTGCGGCATCCCCTGCCCCGGGGAGCGCCCCCGGGTACGGCACCCCCGGGTGAGGCATCCCCTGCCCGAGGGGCACCCCCGGGTACGGCACCCCCGGGTGAGGCATCCCCTGCCCGAGGGGCACCCCCGGGTACGGCACCCCCGGGTGAGGCATCCCCTGCCCGAGGGGCACCCCCGGGTGCGGCACCCCAGGGGCTGAAACAACCAGGGTGTGGGGCACCCTGGACATCCCGGCTCTTGGGAGCTCCACACACCCCAGCCGGTTGAAATCTGGGTGCCCGGGGCAAGTGCCAGTGCTGGGTGTATGGCGCCTCAAAACTGCGGATATCTAGGGGCCAGGGACAGCTTGGATACTGAAGGCAGGACACACCAACAAGCTGAAATTTGGGTGCATGGGGCAGCTGATGGTGCTGGGAGCATGGCACCCCGAAACTGTCAAAATCTGGGGGCCAGGCACAGCTTGGATGCTGAATAAGCTGAAATTTAGGTGCATGGGGTGCCTTAAGGTCTGAGCGCTCTGGAAATGGGCTGTGTAGGTCCCTACAGACACCTCACGTTCTGGGTGCACCCCGAAATCAGGGCACCTCGGTTAGGGACAAGACTCCCCCTTTTCTCTGAGCTGTTCGTGGCAGGGAAGCAGCGTTGGAAAACTGTGGAGGTTCAGGAGCTTGTTTTAAGCGGCAGTGACTGGCCTAAATTATTCCCTCTGCGAACTCTTGAAGGGCTTGGGGGCTTGGCTGGCCACTGTCCTTCCAAATGGGCATCTTGGGCTCTCACTCCAAGGCTGTGGAGCAGGGTGGCTGCAGGATGAAGCAGAGACCAGCTGGGGAAACTACCCAGCTCTCCAGGAGGTGCCCCTGAGCCGTGCAGACACAAGGAATGCAGACAGTGCCCAGCTCATGTGTCACAGCTGCTGCAGCTCAGCCCTGGCAGAAACTCTGCTGTGCCCTCGTGCCACTCCTTGCTGGGTGCTGCACACCTCTGTGACCTGCCTGGTGAGGAAGTTCTGCAGGAGGGACCTAATCCTCCTCAATCTGTTTTGTCCACAGACAATGGTGAGGCCACTGTCCTGCAGGCAGGAAGGCATGAGTTCCCCTTCACCTTCCAGCTCCCCGAGTAAGTTGGCATTTTTGGGGGGAGAGGACGTCTTGAAAATTAGGGTTTTTTTGAGCAAAACCCTTCTAAAAATTGTTTGTTGCTTGTGTCCAGGACCCTGGCCACCTCCTTTGAGGGGAAGCACGGCAGTGTGCGCTACTGGGTGAAGGCCAAGCTGCACAGACCCTGGTCAACAGTGAAGAAAGCAAAGAAGGAGTTCACAGTGATTGAACCCATCGATATAAACACCCCTGCACTGCTGGTGAGTTCCCCCTACTCCATCCTGGGGCTCTGGCATCCAAAACTTACCCAAGAAGCCCATGGGGAAGGTGTCTGCCTCCCCTTCAGCATTACAGTGCAGGCCTGGTTTCCAGAGGGAATATTTTCCCCCCTGTAACTTGTGCCCTCCAGCATTACCTGGGCTGAGCAGAGGTCAGCTGTGCCTCTTTGTTTTTGGAAACTTCAATGCATTGCAACAGCTTCTTGCATCAGATACCTGAGAAGTTGCTGATGCTCCCCGGCAGGTTCTTGGTGCCAGGGAGGTGATTGCTTTGAGTTTCATCCTTAGTTACTAAATAGCCTAAATATTTCTTTTTCTCCAGGCTCCCCAGGCAGGTGCTAAGGAGAAACTTGCTCGTGCCTGGTACTGCAACCGTGGCCAAGTATCTGTGACTGCCAAGATTGACCGAAAAGGCTACACCCCAGGTGAGACCAGGTGCTGGGGCCCTTGAACCTCAGTGGGCCCTGGGGTAGAGCCCAGAGGAGGGAGTTTGGGTCACTGTGAGCAGGCAGGAAATCAGAGAGCTTCAGTGTGGGCAGCATCCTTGGGACACTCCTCCTGGATGCCCCCGTGTGCCTGCCCTGTCAGACAGCGTGGCCAACCCTCCTTGGGCCCGTGCAGCAGCTCTTTGAGGCAGGACTGGGCTCTGCCTCCCCTCCTCACACGTGTGTGTGTCTGTTTTGGCAGGTGAGGTCATCCCCATCTTTGCTGAGATCGACAACTGCACGAGCCGTGCCGTGGTGCCCAAGGCAGCCATAATCCAGACCCAGACCTTCATTGCCCGGGGCACCAAGAAGCAGAAGAAGTCAGTGGTGACCAGCATCACTGGGGACCCCATTCCAGCCGGGAAGAGGGAGGTGTGGCACGGAAGGGCGCTGAAGATCCCGCCCGTGGGGCCGTCCATCCTCCAGTGCCGCATCATCCAGGTGGAATACTCCCTGAAGGTGAGGGAATTCCTTCCTGCAGAGCTCCTCTCCTCCAGCACAGGGGAGATGCCTGCCCCTCCAGACAGGGAGAGCACCACCAGCTAAGCTTCCCTGCTGCTCTTTGTCTCGGCAGGTTTGTGTGGATATTCCTGGGACGTCCAAGCTGCTCCTTGAATTGCCTCTTGTCATCGGGACCATCCCACTGCATCCCTTCGGGAGCCGCACCTCCAGTGTCAGCAGCCAGTACAGCGTCAACCTGGACTGGCTCAGCACCATCCCAGAGCAGCTGGAGGGTAAGCATCTCCTTCTCCCTGGGATAAACCCCTTGCTCAGGACAGTGAGACACAAATTTTCAACTGGGCCAGTTTTGCTTTTTTTTTAACCTAAGATTTTGTTGCGGTGCTGAATCTCCTGGTTCTTTCCTCAGGGAGGGTTTGGGATATAGTGGGTTTGAAGCCTTTTTTACCTGCATGTCCCCTATTTATGGCGAGTGTTTGCTATTCCCTGATGGTTCTCCTTTCTCTTCAGCCCCCCCTGAGTACTCGGCAGTCGTGTCCAGCCCAGAGGCCGAGCAGAGCCTGGCTCCTCCGTGCCGCAGTGAACTCGGGGATATCCTGGAGGGTCCCTTCTTTGCCTACATCCAGGAATTCCGCTTCCGACCACCTCCACTGTATTCTGAGGTGATGAATCCCTCCGGGTTGGGAGGCTGGTGGAGTCTGGGATGTGCCTCTGCAAAAACAGAGGTTTTTGACTCTGGACTTGGCTCTACAGGTGGATCCAAACCCCTCGTCAGACAACATCCGCCCACGCTGCATGACCTGCTGATCCTGTGAACGCATTGGCTGCGTGTGACAGCGTGACAATCCCTGGGGATGGCAGCTTGCACCCTCACAGCACTTGGGTCTGGAAACGGGGATGTGAGACCCCGACCCCGCTCACCGCCCTCGGCCACTCCTGTCGTGACCGTGCCACGGGCCCAGGGCCAGCGCGGTGCCGTGGCCCCGGGCACGGTAGGAGAACACGAGGGGCTGGTGGTGTGGAGCGGCTCCGTGTGTGACTGGGCAGGACACAAAGGGTTCAGAACTGCCCCGGGATTTTGGGGTCAGAATGGGGAATACGAGCCGAGATTGTTCTCCCCTTGCCTGCAGTGCCATGCTTCAAAAATTCTGTCAGCTCCTGGTGTGGAAAACAGGAGCTCGAAGGCGTTTCTCAGGATTACTGGAGACTGTTTGGATGGTGCTCAGGGTTGGGCCCCGGGGCAGTGCAGGTGCAGCCCTTTGCCTGTGGCTCACCAGGACTGCAGGTCCCCCAGGCAGTGAAAAGTCCTTTTCTGGCTGGATGAAGTAGAGGGCTCAGCCACTGCTGATAATCTTTGCCACAAGCCTGTGGGTACCTGCGGGGGGAATGGTTTGAGTCACTTAACCAAACTCTAAAGGCCTCCAAGGGCTGATACAAGGACTTGGTGGGTGAATTTATGACCTGTGGCAGTGTTTTGGTGCTATTTACTAAGAAGAGCTGGTTCATGAGTGTCAGCACCAAATGGTTCATGAGTGTCAGCACCAAACCTGCACAGTGTGCTGGTGCCTCCCCCAAGATGGTGCTGCCAGCCCCCAAACTGTGGTACCAGCACACGGTTGGATCTGTGGCAGGTGACCAAGGAAGAGAGAAGGAAGCCCAGTCTAGGCTATTGGCAGCCACAGGTGCTGGTGGGAGATGTGGAGTTGGGATGAATCCTTCAGGGCTGGGAGTCCTTGATGCCCATAAAGGGCCTGGGGGCCCTGGTGGGGTGAGGACACAGCAGCAACCGGTGCCCACTGGGGGAAGTGTGGGAAGGGTGAGCTGGATGTTGTGGTGAGGAGCCAGGGGCTGACCCCGCTCACTTAGGGGGGACCTGAGCAGATTTTGGGGGCCGAGGACCTTTGCATTCCCTCACTGAGACAATCCCTGGCCATGCACAACCAAAGCCAGTGTGCCTTGGGCTCTGTGCTGGGGTTGCTCAGATGAGTCTTTTCTATCTGTGAACACTTTTATAATGACCACTCTTTACTCTTTTTGTACAACTTTTTGGTGGGGAATTTTTTCTGAAATAAATTCTGTAAACCAAACTGTTGTCTGGACAGTTTTCTCTTCCTCTTTCTGCTTCACGTAGTCTGGAGCCGTGCTGTGGCTCTTGGGATGTGAGAGTGCTCCCTGCTCTCTCTTCACTGCCCTGCAGGCACCCAGCTCCACCCTGTGCCCAGTCCTGCACTGGGATTAACTGGGTCACTCGGCCAGCACTGGTCCCCACAGGATTGATCCCTTGAGCCTCCACCTCCTCTATATCTGTGCAGTTCTGGCACTTTTTCCCATTGCCTAGGATGCAGGGCTGCAAGCAAACCTGTTGTATTTTTCCACACTTGTTTTCCTGTTTGTGTCCAGGCTCCTGGAGGACAGACACATTTTCTTCCATCCTGGAAGCCTGGCAGGGACTCAGCAGGTCCAGCTGGGAGCTGGGACATTCCTGTGTTGGCTCAGCCAGTCCCAAGGAGAGTTGGTATCAGCCCATGTTGTGTTGGCTGGGAGCTGCTGCCATGGGGGAAGAGCAGGGAGCCTCCTTTACCTGCTTCCTTGGGCTGGAATTTGGTTTTTTCACAGCATTTCTGTGCTCCACATTTCTGCTGGGCATGGTAAATCTGAATGCATGCAAGGCAGGATTTGAGTCAAGTCTTTAGGGCTTTAGTTTTCTCTTCCACGGACTGTGCTGCATAAGAATACTGCCATTGGAATGTGATTTCCCCCCTGCTTTATTTATTTTTTTTATTTGCTGAGCTGCTCAGCCTTGCAGCTGTATCAGAGCACGTGCTTCTGCCGTGGGCCAGGGGTGAGAACTTGTCCCTGTGCTTGCCTGTGAGAACCTGGTACTCCTGCAACCTTTATTCAAATCTGGTTTTTATTTGGCATCCTTGGTGCTCTGATTAATTTTTCCCGGGGGAGGATTAACTGCCTCGCAGGGAATTAGTTTGCATCCCCGTTTGGGGGGGATCATGTCTGGATCTGCTGCTGGCAGCAGCAGCCAGGCTGGTGCTGTGTGGCCTCTTGTGGTTTTTTGGTGACATCAAAGGGGACACAAAGCACAGCGCTGCACCCCGCAGGTGGAAATGGCCCCAAAGGCAGCCCTGTGACCAGGCTGATCCCAGCCTGGCACAAGGGAGCCATTCTGTGCTGGCAAACACCGAGCAGCGGCGATGGCCGGGGGCTGCTGGTCAGCCCCGGATCATCTGCCCCGGCTGCACAAGGAGATGTTTATTCCCCGGGCCGCAGGGGGAGGCGAGCCCCCAGCACCCCGTGTCTGTCCTGATGTGTCCTTCTGTGAAACCGCGTCACACGGTGATGGGGACAGGCCATGCCAGGCCGGGGAACCCCGTGCCCGTGGGCAGCGCTCCCGGTGCCCCTGTGGGAGCGATCTCTCCAGCAGGGATTCTTGTAAACGCCTCCGGGTTCTTCTCGTACAGTTGGGCAGTAGCGCAGTGAGGTTGGGAGGGCATGGCCAAGCTGGGGCTCCTTCCAGGAAAGGACTGCACTCCTGAATCCTGAACCCTGGAGGGGCTAAAAATACCTTGTCTGGACATTTGGAGCCAGGGCACGGTGCAGACCCTTCCAGGCAGTGCTTTCACAACTGCTGGCAGTGCTGCCGGTGCTCCCTCCAACCTTCTGTTGTTTATCTGCCCCGGCTCCAAAGTCCTGATTGAACAGCCCGGGCTGTTCCAGGTTTATTGGCACGGGGGATTTGGGCTCCCGGGGGGTCTGCTGAACCGGAACGGCCCCGTGCCCTGCGCGGCAGCACCGAGACCCGACCCCGGGCAGGAGGCGCGTGATGCAATTACAGTGCCGGGATTATTTATAGCTCTTGGCCCCGTGCGCTGGAAAATGCTGCCCAGACCATCCGTCAGAAACTGCTCTTTGCGAGGGGCATGGAAACACACCCCCAGCCCCTGCTCTGCTCCTCTCTCCTGACATTTTTGCCTTTCAGTCCCAAAATTGTGGGACCCCTCTGCCTCGGCCGCAGGGCTGCTGGGAGCCCTCTCCCCACTGCAGCTCACGGCTCTGCAGGGTGCTGGGACACCCCGGTCCTGCGGCCCCTTTCTGCAGCATTTTGGGGTCTCCCCCTTCCCGCTGCCCTCCCCTATCCTGGAGGATGCTCGGTGCCATCACGGTGGCCCCAGCCCGCAGCTGTGGCCTGGGGTTCAGTGGCGGAACCAGCGGGGACGGTGACACGCGCAGCTTGTGGCCATCCCGGCTCTGGCAGGGACAGAATGTGCCGGGGCTGGCGCAGCCCTGCGAGGGCCGGGATTAACTGCGCCGCTGCTGCCTCCGGCCCGGGCGCCCGTCCAGTTCCCAAAACAAGCACCGCCTTCCCCCATCCCAGCTGGCCTGAGCTCTGCGGGGTGCAACTCACCCCAGAACCTGCCCAGGGGCACCCAACGGGGCCTGATCTGTTTGCACGGGGGACGGGCGGTGATGATAAATCCAGATTTTGGCCCAAGTGGAATGCCCTGTTGTGTCCCTGTGATGGGGCCAGGGTTCAGGCACCGCCCAAGTTCAGCATCTTTGAGCCGGTGGGATGCTGGACTCGCAGCACTCGCACCCTGCGGGACAGCAGTCGGTGCTGGCGGGGACTCAGGAGCACCGGGACCTGCCCAGCCCGAGTTACAGGCTCCCTGAGCACCGCAGGCACAGTCCCCAGCAGCACCAGGCCTTGCTTTGGGTTTGCTCCAGCCTCGGGCGCTGCAGAAGCACCAGGGCTGAGGATGGCATGGCTTGGTCCTGGCAGCATCTTTGGGGTCGGGGACTCTGAGGCTCCCCTGCATGCAGCAGAGCTCTGCCAGGGCTCCGGGAAGCAGCCGTGCACCCCGACATGCCGGGGCGGCATCGCGGCCGCCCTCCGCCCGCTGACTCAGCCGCCTGCTTGCCGGAGCTGCTGCCGCCCACGGAAACCGCAGGCAAAGTCCCCGCATCGCTGCGCCGGGGCTTTTCCCTCCGGCTCGACAGGAATCGCAGCTTTTCCCCAGCCTGGTGCGGGCAGCGAGCCCCTCCGGCTGCGGGAGAAATCTGCGGAGAAACCGCAGGACTTTTTTATTCCAAACCGGTTTTTTAATGCTAAAACACGGGGTCTGGAGCAGCCGGCTGGCCGTGTTGCACGTGCGACACGTCCCGTCCCCTGTGAGCATCGTGCCAGCAGCATGGTGACATTACCGGGACACCCACAAACCCCGATGGTCATCGGTGCTGCCGGTGTTGCCTTTGCAGCAAACCGCCACCTTTATTCACTGTATCAAAACCAACCCCTTGTTTTTCGGGTCTGACCCCACATTTGGGGTCCCTCGCTGTTGGCACTGCCCGGCCCCTTGCACAGTCGCTCCTCGCTCCCTCCTCTCCTCGGGCAATGGAAAATTTTTTGACTTTTTGACTTTCCTCCAGTTGTTTGGGAGCGAGGAAGGGGCCGGTGCAGCGCACAAACATGTCTATGTATAAACACTGGGGACCGAGCCAGGGATGGAGCCTCCAGCACCGGAGCCTCCTCACGGAGCCGGGTGTCCCCTCCCCGCCGGGACCCCAGTGTGGCTGTCCATGCTCAGTGACCCAGAGCCATACCCGTGGGGACAAAAATATTTTGGCTTTGTTAAAAAAAAAAACCAACCCAAAACAACAACACTTAAATAAAAAAAATCCTCCCCTCCCGGGTCATCCAGCGGCGGCACGTGATGTGTTGGCACACAAACAGGGAGCCTGGGGACAGCGCCCGCCCGGCTGGGGACGGGACACGGCTCCCACGCCACCCGCGGGGACGGGCTGGGATGTGCGGGTGACACGGCCGTGCCCTGTGCCACGGAGGTGGCGCGATGGGACTTTGCTCCCAGCGCCGCTCCACGCCCCGGCTGGGTTTGCCGTCACTCCCAGGCGCCGCTTCACAAATCGTAGAAAATTCCCAGTCCAGCCCCGGGTGGGTGCGCCACTCCCGCTGTGTCCATGGGGAAGTGGCGCTGTGACATTCTGACCCCGAAGATAAAACCTGGTTCGTGGGGCACCAGGGAGGAGCGAGGGGCACCAGTCACTGGTGAGCTGCTCTGGGTGCCAGTGGGGACACAGCTGTCCCCACCTGAGAGGCGAGGAGTGCGGGGCTGTCACCCTCACTGCTTCCTGTCACTTCGGCAGTGATGGGGCAGCCTCGTCAAACCCCACAGCTCTGATCCCGCCCACGCCCCAACCTCAAAGTCTTCAGAAACCAGGTTGAGCTCCTTTTTTCTTCCCTGTCACCCTGCAAGAAGCAGTAAATTGGAGTTGATTTAACAACAACAAAAACAAAAAAAACAAAATCAAAGAAACAAACAAAAAAAACCCCAAAAAACCAGACCAAGCTCGGTTTGGGGGGAGAAGGGTCCAAGCCAGCTCTCAGGGAGGCCCACACATCCCCAGCTGCCTGCAATGAACCCCCTCCCATCTCCCAACCTCTTTAGCAAGCCTGAAGGCGTTATCTTTAAACGCGAGGGGTTATGTGGAGCAGGCAGAGGGATTTTCCTGCTGAGCAGCTGTGTAAATGCCACCGCATCCCGGCCCCGCGATGGGGGCAGCGATAGCCCGGGGGGTCCCGGCTGGTTGGAGGTGGCTGCGCCGGGCAGTGCCGGTGGGGAGGGCGGTGCGGCGCTGCCGGACGGTCCCGGAGGGGTTCGAGCCGGTTCCCTCCGCTTTCCCGGCGGTTTTGGCATGTGAAAAAATGAGGGAGAGTCAACCTGCCCGCAAAGAACTGGTAAACACCCCGGGAGCGGATCTGCGGGAAGGGGGGGCTGCTCTTGGTCCTGTGTTTATCGCTGCAAAGCTGGGCTGGCGCCTTGCTGGGATGAGACAGATGGGGGAGGCTGCTGGAAAAAAGGCGATTTTTGGGGGGCTCTCTGGTTATCGAATTGTCCTTAGCTCAACTCTATCCGTCTGCTTGAGCAAAATATGTTTATGCTGCAAAACCTCTGGCCGGCTCCGCTGCCAAGGGGGCAGGGACCGCGTGTGGCGATAAGGGCGCAGCGTCCTCCCCCTTCCCGATCACCCGATACCCAGGGGAGCGCACGGAGGCGGCCGCCCGCCTCCCGACACCCTGAGTTTATGATTTCTTTTACTATTATTATAAAGTTTCCGCTGAAATAAAAAAAAACAAAGCAAAACAACCCCACCATAATTCAATAGCTGTTGCTTTGCAGCTGCCAAAGCCTGGAAAGCTCCGGCTGTGCCAGGGGCTGAGCTGCCCCTGGGGCTGCGAGCAGCCATCCGAGAACATTCAAACTGCAGGGAAGAAAATGCTTCCTGCCATGGGGCGGCCGTTCCGGGCAGAGAGAAGATGGTTTTTAACCACTTCTCCCGGCTGGCGTGCTGGGGCTCGCAGCATCCCGGCGGGGCTTGCAGTGATCTGAGCATCCAGTGCTGGCCCGAGGGCAGCTCCGAGCCCCTCTCGGTGGGGAGGGGAAGATGAAATATTCACTTTCGCTGCTGCTTCAAGTCGTTTTCCGTGGCTGGGTTTGGAAATAGCCGTGGCCCGGGTGAGGCTGTTGCAGCTGACGTGAGCAGGAAAGAGCCGGGGCGGCCCCGGGGCCTGTTTGCGAAGTAGAACCGAGTTGTTGTTGTTGTGACACCGAATGGTTGCAAAACGCGGCTCTGAAATACCCGTGACTTTCAAAACAAGCTGAGCCCAGCTGCGGCCGGGGGCTCTCTGTCCACATGTGTCCGTCTGTCCAGCTGTGGGCCCTGCAGCCCCTTCCCTGCTGGGATTCCTGTACCAGCAATGCTTGGGTTTTTTTTGGGGGGGCTTAGAAGAATCCCAGAAGCCTTTTTTAGAGAGGAAAAGCCCCAGTTCCCCACCTGCAGAGGTTTCCTACTGCAAGGAGCTGCCAGGTGTCCTGCCCAGAGGAGCTCTGCAGTGCTTGGGGGTGGATGAGATGAGCTGTCTGCAGCCCTTGAATTCTGCTTAAAACTTAATAATTAAAAAAAATCCCAGGGATCAGTTTGTTTGTTTAGAGATTAAGTCACCTAATCTGCCTGGCAGCGGGTGGCATTGTGGAGGTGGTGGCAGCGATGGCTCTTTGCCCAGCAAATAATCCTGCTCCCGGCCACGGCTGGTGGTCAGGCTGGGCTCAAACCTCTCGCTGGCATCAGCTCTTCTCCAGGATGGGGTTTAGGGAGCAGGAAATGGTGCTGGGTGCAGGGAAAGTGTTGGGAGAGGGATGTATGGATGAGGGAAGGGGCTGGGAAAGGGATGGATGAATGAGGGAGGGGTTGCAGAGTTGTGACCTTGTTCTCTGCCCGTGTTAAAGCCCGGCTGTGGCTCTGCAGGGCTGTTTCCCTGAGACTGGCAAACAGGTTAGACTTCTCAGCCTGGGAGGAAAACATATTAATCTGGTGTTAAAATATCAGTCTGGGCCTGCAGGGATGGACCTCTCCTTCCACAGGGGCTCAGATGCCCCAAGAGGTGATGTTGATGGGGCCATAGCAAACCCCTCTGGCTATTGTATGTTCTGTCTCTGAGATCACATCCCCTAAAATCAAGAGTAAATGGCTTCAAGTTGCACTAGGGGAGGTTTAGGTTGGATATTAGGAAAAATTTCTTCATAGAAATGGTTGTCAAGCACTGGCACAGGCTGCCCTGGGCAGTGGTGGAGTCACCAGCCCTGGAGGGATTTAAAAGCTGTGTGGCTTTGGCACTTGGGGACATGAGTTAGTGGTGGACTTGGCATTGCTGGGTTAGAAGTTGGACTTGATGATCTAAGAGGGCTTTTCCAACCTTAACAATCCTGTGGTTCTGTAAAATCAGGGAGCCAAGAGCAAATCCCCAGGCTGTCACCACCTCCCTGCAGCTCCTTCTGGCTGCCCCACCTGCTTCCTTGGGATGCAGTGCTGAATTTTCCACTCCACAAGAGCAAGTGGAGCCAGGTCAATCCGTGTACACATGTCCCCATTTGCTTCTGGGAACACAGCACAGGGACCCTGTGAGAATAGGGAGAAGAGGGATTTTTCCCTTTAGGGCAGAGATGCTCCATGCAAAATGCCATTGTAGCCAGTGGTGTGTGGGCAGTGCTGGCACCGTTGGGTGTGAACAGGGAACCCCATGGGGTGACTTTGGGGTCGATGCATCCTAATGACACTGGGCTGGCCTTTGTCTTCCCTGCTGGGATGGATTTTGGCTGCTTATCCCAGGGCTGTCCTGGAAGGAGTGTCCCTTTGGTGTAATGAGTCCTCTGCTGAGTGTAATGAGTTGTCCTCAGGCTGTGGGTGGCAGTGGCTCTTGCCAGGCCTAACCAATGCCCTGTGGCACGTCTGGGTGCTGTGCTGGGATAGAGGAGCAGGCAAGGTCACATCCTGGCTGCAAAAGCTGGCCTGGTGGCTGTCCTTGGGTCACCAAGCTCAGCATGGCGCCTGGGGACCCATTTGGAAACCAGTCCTGTGAAATTTAAACTAATTAGCAAGTCCTGAGCTGCTCGCTAGCACTAATTGGCAAGCCTGGCTTGATTAGTTTTCCCTGGCACGTCCATGGCTCCACATGACACCGTGTTCCTGGCAGGGCACTGCCCAGCTCGGGACACATGTGGGGACAGAGCCACTGGTGGGGACAGGGCCATCTCTGAAGGTGTCAGAGGGGATGTGAGTGGCACCGTGGATGGGATGGATCCCTGAGGAGTGACCCCATGGGGGCAATGAGGGGGCTCTCATGTCCCCTCCCTGCCCAGGGTGTTTTCAAGGCAGTGGCCAGGCCTGGCTGTCCTGCTGTGAACTCGGTCCATGAGCTGGAATGATTAACTGGCATCGGTGCTGGCCCCGAGCCGGGCCGTGTTTACTGCTGCCACCCAACCATGCTGAGCTTCCAGTGACCCTCGCGCTTTCCCTCATGGCTCTGACCCCCCAAAACCGGCTGTAAACAGGGGCCGAGGCTGAAACCCGAGTGTGCCCGTAACCAGATACTTCCTCCACGTGTGCCTGGTGTGCTCTGAAGAGAGCCTGGCGTCACCCAAATCCCAGCAAAATCCCTAAATCTGATCTCTGCTCTGTGTTTCTGTGTGGCAGCATGCCAGATCTTCCCCCTCCAGCCGAACCCCAGGGATTTGGGGGCCTGGAGAGGCAAAAGTTTCCGGGCACAGGGGTCTGGCACAGACACTGACGCACACTCCTGACACACGCAGGGAGGGAACGGTGCATTTGCTCTGCCAAGAGGTTGGGAATCACCGTGGGGACGTGGGGCTGGTGCCACCTCGTGGCTCCACCAGCAGCTGAGCCGGGCTGGACGCGCCGCTCCGGACAGCGCTGGTGACCCGGTGATGGGGGTCCCTCGTGTGCCCATCTGGATGAGACCCCCAGCCATGGGAGCGACAGCACCGCAACCGCCTCATCCCTGGAGCGCTGGGAATGGCCATAAATCCAACCCCGGCTGTCCCTGGCCGAGGCCGGGGTGAAGGTGAGCCCTGGTGCTCTCTCCTCTCGGCATCGCCGCAGTTTCCTCCCGCGGGTGCCGCTGCTGCGAGCGCAATTTGAGTGAAATACTTTGCAAAACACGAGTGGAGCCAAGAGCTGCAGCGAAGAGGCCGAGTGTCAGTGGCTGAGACACCGCGGCTGTACCGGCGCTGCCGCACCTGGATTTCCCCGTGTTACTAAACTCAAGTAGCTTTTAGGTTTTTAAGGGTTTTTTTTGCCCTCTCAGCAAGTAAACACCGCTGCGCCAGGCAGAGAAAACCACAAATCGCTTTTCATCTCCAGTTCTGTCCCTGATAAGGCTCGAGGCGGCCCCACGGGAAGGGGCTGGGGGGGCCCCCATGGATCACCCCCGTCCCGGCTGCCTGGCTGCGTCCTCCACAGCGCCGTGGATTGAATCTCTGTTCTAAATGCTTGTTGTAATCTGCTCTGGTCAGGCGAGGAAAAACCATCTCAGCCCTGCTGCTTTGTGCAGTTATTTTCAATTTTTTAAATCTGTTTTTTTTTTCCTTTTTTTTTTTTTTTTTCCACACTTTAAATTTTTTTTTTGCAGGTAGTTGGTGTTTGGTGCTGGGGCTTTTTGCGTCCCCACCAGGATACTGATTCCAGAGGTAGCAGCCGGCTGGGATGAAGCTCTGCCTCCTCCCAATCCAGGCGTGGAAATACCCTCGGTCCTGGCCCGACTCTGCAGCCGCTTCTGCTCGGGTTTTATCGCCGGTGAAAAGTTGAGGCTACAAATTGCGTGGCCAAAACTTGTCCCGGTGCAATGCTGCATCCAGAGGCATCGCCTTCCGTGTCCTGGAAACCAGAAAACCCCCTGAAAGTGCTGGTGCCACCCACGGACTGGGCACTCAGCATCCCACACGGACACTCCGCATTCCATGGGACACCGCCGTGCCCTTCCTGCCGTCCAGCCCCGCTGCTCCAGCCTGGTGATGGCTACGGCACCGACTTCTACGGCGAGGGATCGCGTCCTTCCTCATCCCTGATGATGATGGGTTTGTCGGAGATGAGCAGGGCAATGGGGAGCAGCGGCTGGTGCAGCCCCTGCCTTCCCTCCTCCTCCTCCTCCTCCTCCTTCTCTCCGGGTGGGTGCTCGGTGCAGCTGGTGCTGCCGGAGGCTGGAGATCCCAGCGGGCTCCGCATGTCCTGCCTGCGGTAGGCGAAGGGCAGCTCGTCCCCACAGCCCGGCGGGGACACCAGCGCTGCCGGGGGCTGTTCCAGCGCGGGGCCGGGCTGCGGCACGTCGGGCTCGGCCACCGCAGCCTGGGTGCCCGTGTCTGTCGTCTCCTCCCTGGGATCCGGCTCCAACATCAGCAGCTCGGCTGGGTCGAACCTCTCCACGGGCTCCAGGAGGCCTCTCCGGGGCTGGCCCTAAGGGTTGGGTGGGTTTGGGGTGGAACATCCCGTGCCAGGGCTGAGCATGGACGTTTGAGGCTGTGGGATCTGTCCCCTCCTGCACCTTACACCTCACCTGGCTCATCTCGTCGGCCGAAAACTGGATGGCTTTGCTGCCCATGGGCTTGGGAAGGGGTGGGAAGAGGAGACGGCGAGCCCTGGGGAGGGAGTGGTTGATGAGGGGTGGTAATGGTGGGGGTGGCCTGAGCGGCTTTGGGGACGAGGGTGCCCTGTCACCTCTTTTTGGTCAGGTGGTAGACGGCAGCTGCAGCGGGGAGACCAAGCGAGATGCCCAGGTACTTCAGATTGCCTCTCCACACTTCTCCCTGGGAACCTGGGGATAGGCATGGCTGAGTGGTGACATTCCGGCCCCCAACAGGGACACAGGAGACGTTTTGGGGTGAGGGCGAGCACACAGTGGAGAGAACACCCCATGGGGAGCGGGGAGGGCACGGGGTCTCAACCATTACCCAGCGCCTTGGTCTGGAAGCGCCACCAAGCGCTGCAGGTCCCCTCGCTGTCCTCTGTCACCTCCCAAACACCCACCCTGTAGGCTGTGCCAGGCTGGAGGTTTTGGAGGGTGTAGTTTGATGCCGTGGCATTCACTTCGCTGTCTGGGCGAACAAAACCGAATGTGGGGCAGTCTGGCGGCTGCCTGCGGGCAGCACCCTCCTCCTGCCCCATGGGGATGGGGGTCTCACTCACAGGTCACGTTGTCCCCCTCGGCCGAGTGGCAGATGAGGTACTTGGCCAGCGCGCCGGGACAGGCGGCACGTGGGGACGGTGTCCACTGGAGGACAACTGCGACATCTCCCGTGCTGATGTTGATGGGCACGACCAGCGAATCTGCGTGCAAAAAAACCCGGGGATTATTTCCGGAGAGCCCTTTCTGGAGTGAAGCCAGGTGAGGACGCTCCAGCTCTCACACACACCGTTGCTGTTGTAGCGGTGCCACAGGGCGAAGGTGGCCCAGCCGCGCTCCTCGTCCCAGCCGTGCACGGCCAGGCGGTGACAGCCCGGCGCTCCCAGCGCTCCTGGGGAGGAACCGGGGTGCTGCTTAGACCCTCTGACCCCGGCTGGGGGGACAGCGGGGGGCTTGGGGCGCTCCCTTGCCTCTCTGCACGTGGCTGCTGTTGGCAGGGAATTCCTGCAGGATGCAGACTCCCTGTTTGGGAGGCCCTGGCAGTGTCTGCTGCTCGAAGCAGAAGGCATCGCCAGGGACCGGCGCTTCCCACTGCGCAGTCACGGTGCCTCCGGCCACGCTGATCTCCTTGAAGCTGAGATCTGGGATGAAACGAGAGATTTTCGGGGTAGATGGAAAAAATAACGCCCTGAGGGCTTCCAGGGGAGCTCAGCATTTCTAGAGGGGCAGGTACCCGCACGCTGCTCTGCCGGCACACGGAGCTGCTGCGCCGGCCCCGGCCCCGCGGCATTGACCGCGGACAGCAGGATTTCGTATTCAGCCCCCGACAGGGTGAGGTTGTGCTCTGTCTCCTCCCAGCGCAGCTCCACAGTGTCCTCCTCATCTGACTCTGCACAGCCACACGCCAACATGTGGACGTCCAGCTTGTAGGTGACATCCCTTTGCTCCTTGAGGACTGGCTGGAAAAGGGCGTGACTTGGGGGATGAAATAGTAGGGGACACCCAGGAGGGCCCCCAGGGACGCCACTGTACCTGCCAGCTCAGCCTCAGCACCCGCTGCCCATCTCTCCCCAGTTTGCCCAGCTGATGGCTCAGCACTGGGCTCCCCAGGATTTCTGCAGGAGGAACAAGGCTGACTGAGCCATCAACATTTTTGGGAGCTGTTGGGATCTCACCAGGCTCCTCTCCTCTTCCTCACCCTCAGGAACAGAGATGTTACTGCTCCAGTCACTCCAGTAGCTGCTCCAGTGGGGAAACTTTTGCCTGAGCTGGACCACGAAAGTGCCATTGACCCCCAGGGCACAGGTCACTAGAGAGGGGTGGCAGGGTCAGCTGGGGGGGTGACCCCTCCTTTCCCTGACTTTTGGCCATGCTGAGGAGCACCCCCGGGAGATGCTTGTCCCCAGCCACCCCACAGGATAAACCAACCTGAGACATTTCCACCTGTCGCCATCACAGTCTCACATGTCACCTGCAGAGAGAACCAGGCATGGAGACACCCACCCAGTAAAACCTGTATTTTACTGGGACATCAGTGCTGCCCTGTGATCCCCAAATATCCCAGGGGCTGGGAGAGCCAAACAGTGCAGGGTTCATGGTAGCCAGGGGTCCCCTCAATTCTGGGACCCTCCTGGCAGAAACTGAGAGGGATGCGGGGGTCCCCAGCTATGAGAGCTTCACTAAAAACAAGCATCCGGATTTGCTCTGTTGTCGTCATTAGTATAATCTGGGGTTTTGTCTGTGTAATCCCCGAGAATCCTGTTATGGGCAGCAGCAGGATCCCGCAGCCAGAGGACAAGGCAGAGCTGACAACACAGTGAAACAGATGGGACACAGCTGGGTTGGGGGGGACAGTGACATCACTGAGCCCCCACACGCCCTGGGCTGCCGTGGTGCTCCTGACTGTCCTGTCACTCACTGCCAGCTCCAGCAAACAGCGTTTTTACCTGTCTCCAGTTTTTACCTGTCTCCAGTTTTTACCTGTGTCCAGCCGCTGTCTCCCACCCTCCAGAAGCGACCCTCATGCTGTGGTGGCTGCTCCAGGCCACGGCACTGTGGCTGTGGCACCTGCACTCTCAGCAGGCCACCAGTCTTGGAGAAAAGCATCCCAGTAGGAGGTGGATCCAGTTTGACTGGAAAGATGAGGCGGTTTTGGGTGGTCTGGCAGTTTTTAGTGCCGGTGCTGGCTGCCAGCCTGGTCCCTGGGGCACTCACCAGCCTTGTTGAGGTAAAGGGTGTGGTTGGGGGTCCTGCGGACCTGGTCTCCCCAGCGTGCCTCCACCCAGGCCGTGGTGTTCTCTAAGATGTACACTTGGCCATGCGGGGGGCTGTAGTTGGTCACCGTGCCCACCTGGAACCGGCGGCATCGGCTGCGCCTCTCAGAGCTGGGGAGGGAGCGGGCACAGGGGTGGGATCCGGACACATCCCATGGGCTCCCCCTCCCCGCCGTGCTGCCCAACTCACCAGAAGTTCAGGACGTAGGAGGTGCTGCCGGCGGGGCCGAGAGGCGGCCAGGAGCAGTGGAAAAGCTTGGGGGTGCTGCATTTCTTCCAGCAGGAGACTTCGTGGGCTGCCACGGTGCCTGCGGGACACGGCAGTGGCTGGAGGCTCCTGCATCCCAAACTCCATCCCTTGCATGCAGGGAGCAGTGGTGTGGCTGTTGCCTGCTTGCCATGCTGCTCAACGGAGAATCAGAGCAGCTGCACCAGCGATTCTCACCCCAAGCCCCCGTGTTCCCCCTCCCCGGTGATGGATGCGGCGCTGGCCGGTGCCACTCGCCCCGGCTCCTGCCTCTGTCAACCATCTTCACCATCTTTACTCCGTCCCTGCGGTTTTGGTTGAGTATCTCCATCTCTCTTCGGGAGCTCCCCAGGTCTTATCACCCCCGAATCATTCATTGAAAGTCTTCTGAAGTTATCTCTCATCTCCCAGCACCGCAGGAGCACTTACCGCCGTGCGCCAGGGCGGCCAGCGCCGCCAGCAGCCACCCCAGCATGGCCCACCCGGGCTGTCCCACAGCGGATCCGGGCTCCGCTGCCCTTCCCCTCTGCCCAATCCCCCGGCACCCCTGGGTGTCCCTCTCGGGCGTGGCGGCAGCCCCAGTGCTCAGCGCAACTTCCCGCGCTTGGGGTTTCCTCTTCTGCTGAGACTGTGCCGTTCCCAGGCAGGGCAGAGCCCTAGATGTGAGTGCATGCCCCACTTTTACCAAAAACAAAAGAGAAAGCAACCAAAATATCCCCTTTTTTTGCAGGCACGGCTGCCGGGATGAGGCCGACCCTGCCCCGCGGCTGCACCGCATGTCCCGGGCGCGCCACGTGCCCCGGCACGGCAGAAGCGCAAGGTAAGCGAAAGATGAGTCTTGGGGTTTTTGGTGGGTGGTTTTTTCTTTTTTTTTTTTTTTTTTCACACAGCGTGTTTCTGGTCCTTTGCCCGTAACTGGGTGTATTTCCAGTGGCTGCTCCAAGGTTAGGGTTCTCCGGGATTTTGTGGGGGGGACTGTTGTGCTCGTCCCCGGAGCCTCTCATTGCCTGCGCCGAGAGAACAAAGCCCCAGTGAGGCGGGAGAGCGCGGTGGCACCGGGGCACCAGAGCCGTGTGACGGGGCGGGAGAGCCGGGACGGTGGAGCCGGGTGGCACCGAGGGCCGTGCACAGAGTGCCCTTGTTCCCGCAGAAAGCGGCCCCTTGTGTGGCCCCTGCTCGGGGCCGGAGGGCGGCGGTGGCGGGAGTGTCCCTGTGCTGGGACAGCGTGGGCATGGCCGGGCTGGGGACACAGAGGGTCCCCTGGCACCTCCTGACTCTCCGTGTGCCCTCCCTGTGTGTCCCCCTGTCCTGTCCGCGGTGGGGGTACACACCAGGCTGTGCTGTGCCAAACTGGACTGTGAGGGCTTTGCTGTGCCACGACAGACAGCAGGACTGGGCTGGACTGGGCTGTGCCATGCTGAACCAGGCCATGCTAAGCTATGCCATGCTGGACCATGATGTGCCAGGCTTGGCCGTGCCATGTTGGACTGTACTGGGCAGTGGTGCCCCAGGCCACACACTCTGTGATGCACTGTGGCAACCAGGGCAGACCTTGGCTGGACCACACCAAGCCCCCAGCCCCACATCCCGCTGTGCCAGCCCCAGGCCTTGCCATGCTGGGCTTTACCTTATCAGCAGACTGTGCCAGCCTCAGGCCATCATGTGTGTGCCACAGCTGATGTGCTGGACTGTGTCCAGCCAAAAAGATTGTGCCAGGTCTGGGCTGTCTCATGCTGTGCCGTGCAGGCCTGGGCTGTGCCGTGCCATGCTGTGCCATGCCATGCTGTGCCATGACGTGGCAGACTCTGTAGTGCCAGGATGTGCTGAGCCAGGCAGACTGTGCCAGCCTTTGCCAACCCCATGATGTGCTGTACTGTGCCATGCCATGCCATGCCATGCCATGCCATGCCATGCCATGCCATGCCATGCCATACCAGACTGTGCCATACTGGGCTCTACTGAGCCAAGCAGACTGTGCCAAACCCAGAATGCACCATGCCCTGTTACCCCCACACCCTGCCATACCCATACCCTGCCAGTCCTGTGCCAGTCCCATGTTGTGCCAGCCCCATGCCATGTCAGCCTCATGCCTTCCTGTCTGATGTTGTGCTGTGTCATTCCAGCCCTGGGCCATGTGGGTCTCCTCCCCTGTGCTGTGCCATCCCCAGGCCAGGCCAGCCCCATGCTGTGTTGTGCCAGCCCAATGTTGTGTTGTGCCAGCCCAATGCTGTGCCATTCCCAGGCCATGCTGTGCCACACCACCTTATGCTGTGTTGTGCCGATCCCAGGCCGTGCCAGCCCCATGCTGTGCTGTGCTGTGCTATTCTAGCACTGTTCCATGTGGGTCTCATGCCATGCTATGCCAGCCCTGTGCTGTGCCATGCCAACCCCATACCATGTCAGCCCCATGCCGTGCTGTGCTGTGCCAGACCCGAGCCATGCTGTGCCCGCCCCATGCTGTGCCCTGCCACGGCAGCCCCGTGCCGTGCCGTGCCGTGCCGTGCCGTGCCGTGCCGTGCCGTGCCGTGCCGTGCCGTGCCGTGCCGTGCCGTGCCGTGCCGTGCCAGCCCCGTACTGTGCCAGCCCCGAGCCGTGCCGTGCCAGCCCCATGCCATGTCAGCCGCATGCCGTGCCGTGCCATCCCTGTGCTGTGCCAGCCCCGAGCCGTGCCGTGCCGTGCCGTGCCAGCCCCGGGCTCGGTGCTGATGCGCGTCCGGTGACGCGCTGGGGCCGCTGGGCGGCGCCCCGGGCGCACCGGCGGGGCGGACCGGGCGCACCGGGCGGAGCGGGCGCAGCGGGAGGCGGTGGCGGCGGCGGCGGCGGCGGCGGCGGGATGGACGAGCCCAGCATTCTGCGGCGCCGGGGCCTCCAGGTGAGCACCGGGCACGGGCACCGGCAGCGCTGGCCGGCGGGGCGGGGGCGGAGGGAGCGCGGGGAGCCCGCTCCCGGCGAGCCTGGGCTGGGGGTGCTCGGGGTGCGGGTCCGCAAGGGGTGGGCGCTGCGAGAGCGCGGGGGGCGGGCGCTGTAGGTGAGAGGTGGGTGCTGTGAGTGAGAGGTGGGTGCTCCGGGTGGGAGGTGGGCGTGAGGGGTGAGGGGTGGGAGTTCCGGATGCGGCTCTGCGAGGGGTGGGTGCTGTAAGTTGAGAGGTGGGTGTGCAAAGGGTGGGTGCTGTAGGTGAGCAGTGGGTGCTCTGGGCGCTTGTGAAACGGGTGCTGCGTGTGCAAGAGGTGGGTGCTGCGGGTGGGAGTTGGGCGCTCTGCATGAGGGTGCGAGAAGTGGGTGCTGCGTGCGGGAGTGGGGGGCTCTGCGTGGGTGTGTGAGAGAGGTGGGTGCTGTGGGTGAGAGGTGGGTGCTGCGGGGGCCAGAGGTGGGTGCTGTGTGTGAACAGTGTGGGCCAGGAGCCGGACACCCACCTGGGAGCCCGGCCGGCTCTGAGCCCGAGCAATGCCAGGGGATGTCGGTGCGGGGTACCCAACTGTGCGGAGGCTCCCGTGGGAGCACCGTGGTCCCTCCAGCCCAGCTCCCGATGCCGGTTCGTGCCGAACCGCTGTGCCAGCCCCTCTCTGAGCCCCTCTATCGCCTGGCATTCTTGCTCCCTTAGGCAGAGGGACACTCATCCTCCTGCCCATCCTGCATCCGCTCCCGCAGGAACCCGGCGCTCTGCTGAGCTCGGAGCGGTGATGACCGGGAACCCCCCGGCTCGCAGAGTTGAGAGCTGAGCCGGATTTTCCGGGTGACCTGACGCCTCCGACCCCATCTGCAGTATCCGGGGGGCCCGGGCGGAGCTGTCGGGGCGGCTGGAGGATGGCACGGCGCTGCCTTCATCCGAGCTGGCAGCTCCGCGGGCAGCTGCGCTCCGCTGCACGCTCAGCCCGGGAGAGAGCCCTGTGCTCTCTCTGTGACAGAGCCATGGCCGTCGGCTTTGGGACTCTTGGCTGTGGGTGTCGTTCCTGGCAGTCCCGGGAAGCGCAGAGCCGTGGGACCTGGCTGGGTGCCCACATGCCCATGGCAGGAGGGGTGGGAAGAGGCTCCGACCAGGGACTTAATCCCAAAGCGCTGAGCAGCAATGCCGCCCCCGATGCTGTCCCAATGCCATCCCTGATTCTGTCCCTGATGCCATCTCTAATGCCATCACTGATGCCATCCTTGGTGCGGTCCCTAATGCTGTCCTCACAGGGATCAGCTGATGGTTAATCCTGGCCCCCACTGGGACCTGCTGAAGGGAGATGCACAGTGCTGGACAGGAGTATCAGGCACCCTGTGGGTGCTGGCTCTGTGACACTACCCCACTTGGGTCCTCAGGGCCACCGGGGGATGCTCTGGGTGTCCCTGGGGATACAGAACGGCCGGAGAGCCCCTGGCAGTGAAGGGGTTTGGGTTCTCCGTGTTCTTGCACCCATAGATGTGTGTGGGCGAGCATGGGGGACAGTCCTCTGTCCCACTGTTCCATCTGAGCAGTAAAACCCTCTGCCTCCTCTGCCTCCTCCCCTGCGCAGGGGGCTGGTGGCCAGTAGCACAGCTCCGGGCGCGGGTGGGGATCCGGGCTGGGTGACAGCAGAGCTGGTTCAGGGTGCTGGGGGGCTCCCCCTCCATGTAAGGACCCCGCATCCCCTTCCCCAGCCGGGCCTGGGGTCAGCCCCTGCTGGGTGCACAGAGACACCCACACCCACGCCGTGTCCCTGTCCCTGCACCCACAGACACGTCCCGTGCCACCCCGGGGCAGACATGCACCCGTGGGCCCGGGGCTGCCGAGTCCCTGTGCACCCAGGCATGATGTCACCCGTTGCCATGGCAATGCTGCTGCATCACTGCGTTGCAGCGCGCCCCAATCCCGGGATTTCCACAGGGGCTGCGTGGCGTGGGCAGCGGGATGGGGCATGGGTACCCCGGGGATTGGGGGTGTATGGGTGCTGCTGGGGGTTCCTACATGGGGGGCAGCAGCTCCAGCCCACAGGGAGCTCTGTGCCTGTGCCAAAAATGGGTCTGGGCTGCTCGGGGGTACGGGACCAGTGGGCACAGGATCAGGGCAATGATGGGGCATTAACCGGCACTTACAGCTGCCACAGGTCCCTGCATCCCAGGGCACACATCAACCTGTCCACATTGTGCCACTCACAGTGTGCTAGCAGAATCTGTGACACTCTGTGGGGTGACAGGTGGCACACGGGTGGGCACCAGAGCAGTGCTGGAGTCGGATGGTGCCCAACAGGCCAGGAGGATGGCACTGGATTGGGTTCCTGTCCCCAGCTGCCCTTTGGCCAGTTGCACCACCTGTGAGCAAACAATTCTCACAAGAAATATTCCCAGAGGCTGGAAAAATAAATAACGTAGGGGCTGCTGGCTGCTGCCGGGGGTGGGGGGGGAACGAGGAGGGGGACAGGGTGAAGCCACCATCCTGGGGCCATGCTCCAGCTGGGCACATGGGTGCTGCTCCCACTGCACCACCCTCCTGCCATCGCTCCTGGGCCTGGCCCT